TATAACGTGTGTAGTCCCTTTGAGACAACGCCCTCGACAACGCCGACCCGTTCCCAGAGTCCGACCATGGGCACAAAAAACATCCTGGTAGCCATGGACTAATTCAGTAAGTGGGCATAAGCCTATGCCCTGCCCAACTAGGAAGCCTTCACCGTCGCGGACTTCCTGACAAAGGAATGAATACGTCGATTCGGTGTTTCATTGGAGCTGCATTCGGACCAGGGCAGAAATTTCGAGTCCAACCTGTTCCAAGAAATGTATAAACTGTTAGACATTCGAAAGACCAGAACCACAGCCTTACATCCTCAACCTGATGGAATGGTGGAACGAATGAATAAGATCATAAACCGCCACTTGTCCAACGTAGTCTCTGACCACAAAAGAGACTGGGACCAGCACCTCCACCTGTTCCTGTTAGCCTATCGTTCATCAATGCACAAGTCAACCGTCCAAACCACTGCCAGTATTATAATGGGCCGAGAGCTGCGGCTTCCTTGCGATCTGAAATTTGGGATGGCGACTGAACAAGATACTGCGGGGAAAAACTATGTCAGCGAGCTTCGGCAGGGAATGTGCGACATCCATGAACGAGTCCGTCTGAACATCCGGAGTGCCAGCGATGGGATGAAGAAGGCCAATGACATCAAGGCAAATGCTGGAGGATTCTAAACCGGTGACCTAATTTGGCTATACAACAACAAGCGACGCCGTGGTTTATCACCGAAGTTTTGGAACTTGTGGGAAGGTCCGTACAAAATCATGAAGAAGATAAATGACCTCGTCTATCTAATCTATAAGGCACCTCGAGGAAAGCCTTGGGTTGTTCATTTTAATAGATTGGGTCCTTATGCTGGAAATCGCTACCAAGTTCGCACCCTCAGACCACCAGAGGATGAAATAACGTTCCAAATGTTCATGTCTTTATACTCAAACGGACAGAAGGTGGTACATGGGGTAACACAAGAAGAGTCACGAGACCTTTTCGTAGTTCCAGTTGATTACGCACTAGCTCACTGCATGGCAGAGGATCTCCAAATGTCCAGGGGTATTACTGTGGTGTTCAACATGAAATTCGGTCAGCTCCAAACATTGAGAGAACAGAATTCAGTAGTCGGAGGACTGCTACAGTTGAAAAACCAGAGAAACATTTTCTACTTGGTGACCAAAAAGCATTTTCGAGACAAACCGTCCTGCGAAGATGTCTGGAGGAGTCTTACCAGAATGAGGGACACGAAACTCGACCAGAATCTTGTGGACTTGGTAATCCCGAAATTAGCATCTGGGCTCGACAGGCTAGATTGGAGAATTCTGAGAAGCATGTTGAAAACTAAATTCAGATCCAGCGGCATCAAGATTTTGATGTGCGGTAAACATCTTCCACGACCAAGCACGAAGACTGTGGAGTGTTCGAGGTATCGACACACACCAAGGATGACAGTTCGGGGCGAAACGTCTTTAAGAAGGGGGCAATGTTATGAATCTGAAGCCGCCCCTGACCGATATGCCGGCCTACTCAGCGAACAAACACATGACATCACCGCGAAAGAATGCAGTCGGGAATCGCCGGTGAAATTCTAGGACCGAACCGTCTACATATTTCTAGAAAGGGCAGTTCAGAAAGTGAATCGAACGGCTAAACAAGAAATTCAAATAGTGAAAATGAATAAAGCGTTAGTTGTTAAGTGTAAATGAATTAGTTTGTGATTATTGAAATATTTTTTGAAATAAATTTATTTGAGACAAGTTAATTCATTAATTTGTTACAATATCATTATATGCGGAATATCGTTTGAATGTCCGTTACGGCTTCTCTGGGGAGAACGCATCCGAAAGGTCGAATTTTCGATGACTCTGGCGCATAAATGAAGCTGAATTTGACATTTGACCCATGGAATGGGTTATGGTGGCTTTGAGGGCCGCTGTGGTTTGTGGCTTATTCGCATACGCCTGCGACTTGAGAAAACCCCACAAGGAATAGTCTAACGGGGTTAAATCGCACGATCTCGGTGGCTACTTCACATCATCTCCACGTGGGATGACCATGCCCTCAAATGGCTCGTGCAGAATATCTAATGCACGTAGCGCCGTCTTGTTGAAACCAGTCGTTGGTATCCAGATAATCCAGTTCAGGCTGAAAAAGGTTGGTAACCATTGACCTATAGTGCTCGAGTGATGGCCTGTCCAACGTCGTTCTTAAAGGAATATGTACCGATGACACCGCCAGCCCAAACACCAAACAGTGACTTTTCGGGATGCATTGGACGTTCTTGGATCCCCATGTGGGTAGGTATCGTCCCAAATTCGACAGTTTTGTTTGTTCATGTACCCATTTATCCAGAAATGGACCTCATTGCTGAAAAAGATTTTCCAATGGAAATTAGAGTCGTCAGTTGTCAACTACTCCAGAGCCCATTCAGCGGACACACGTCGTTATCTAAGATTGTTTACCTTCAGTTCCTGGGTCAGTTGAATTTTGTTTCGGTGCAGATCCAAGTCACGACGCAAAATTCGCCAAGTTGTGGTCTGCGAAAGGCCGAGTTCTTGTGAGCGACGCCAAATCGATTGCCTCGGATTCTCCTGCACACTCGGTAGGATGATTATAGTGACCATAAAATGGGCGAACCGCGCGGTACGTTGCCCGAACGGAACACCTATTTTGATAAAACAATTTCACTATTTGCACTTGTTGTTGAATGCTATATTCATCCATGGAGATTTGACAAAACATACTGAATAAATGACAACTGCAACTGTCGAAGATGTAGCTTCAACAATATGATCGTCATCAACTGTCAAAGTTCGGAAGTCCCTGATGAAAGACTCTATATAAACGGAGAGAGGTCAAAAACAGTAGCTAAGAATTGAACCCAAGCTCTGGGCAACATGAAGAAAATAAAATATATTTTCCATTTTCTTTCTTTCATGTTTCATTTTAACCGACATGAACAAGTTCAATTAGTGCTAATAGGTTTCGTCAAAGAGCTTTGTTGCGTTGAAATACTTTCTCAGAAGTTTTGTACGGAACTTTATTTCTGTATCGTAATGAGTTTGCTTTTATTTCAGTTCCCACAGTTGATTGATTGCAATGCCTCATTTCTTGATATTTATTGGATTGCCGACTACAGGGTTTTGGGATATTGAAAGAGTTGTTTGATTTGTAGTGCACTCAGTGGCTCAATGTTTTTATCTGCTGAAATGAATGAAAATTGGCTTTTCTCAACACCCTAACATACGGTTTTATTGACAATTTGGCTTCTTCAGACGACAACTGATTTCTATCGAAGCATACAGTTATAGTGTAACAGGCAAAATGTACAAGACTAATAATTTGTAAGACTCATCCAATTGAACAAAAGTATACATGAGTATTATCAATTTACATTGAAAAAAAAAACAAATGAGAAATTTTCAAATCCACGTATTATTCCAATGCGAACAGTTTTATTGGTAACAATGTTCGAAATATTGAAAAATTGAAAAAAAAAACACAAAAACCAATACATGATAATAATTGAACAATTTTATAAACATTTCTTTTATTTTTAGACGCGTTTCTATCGAGGAAGCTACGGTGTCCAAAAATGAAAAATGTTTGTGAGAATTGTTCAATCATTATCATTTATATATATAGTGTTATTAATTTTCATTTTTTTTGTGACGGATCAATCCATCCATAATAGAAACCTAGAAGAAAACTGATTAGGGGAGCGAGGGGCACGTTGTTACAGGGGTAAGAACCCCTGTAACAACGGGATTTAAAACTATTTGGTGGACATGATTGGACTCATTTGTTTTCTTATAATATTGTAGTTTTTAAACTTCTTTTAAAAACGTTTTTGATTGAATTCTGAATATATTTTGTTTTTTTCAGAATGAGAAACTATAAAAGGAAAACAGAACGAGGTACAACTAGTCAAGAAGTTTATGAATCTGTTGCAGCAGAAGTGCTACAGAATAAAACGAGCATTCGAAAAGCCAGCGGAATTTTTAATTTGTGTCCGATGTTCTTATTTACGTATTTCAAAGAAACAAGAACAAAGAAAGTTGTTCATTGGGCTACGTTAAATCTGAATTGATATTCTCACAAGACACATAACATGAATTAGTTTCTTATATACTAAAAATTTCAGAAATATATTTTGGTTTACTAACAAAAGAAGTCCGAAAACTAGCCCACCAATGTGCTGTAAAACTCGATTTGAAAAATATTCCTCCCAGCAGGCTTGAAAATGAAATGGCCTGGCCTGACTGATTTACAAGTTTTATGGATAGAAATCTTCAACTATCTCTACGTACACCAGAAGCTACATCTTTGAGTAGAGCAACGTCGTTCAACAGAAACAGCGTTAAAGATTTTTTTGACAAACTGTAAGGCTTACTCCAAAATTATGTTATTTTTTTACAAAAAAATCTTTAAATAAAACGATATAAATATTATAATTATTCATAAATGTTAGAAGTCTATTCAAAGTGATTTATTTTGTTTATAACGTATTGAAATAATAATAATAATGATCTCAAACATCGTGCCCCGAAGATCTAACAACTAGCCCCAAATTGGTGGTTAGATGTTACAATCGACTTTTTTCGATAAATTGTCCATTGTGAAAAAATTACATTAATTTTAATAACTTCTCGATCATATTTTGATAGCTGAATAGACATACTAACGATAGAAGAACTCAAATGTATCAATTAGTTGATAGCATATTGACAATTATCTGAAAATTGTAACAACGTGCCCTCTGCTCCCCTACGTTATGTTGTATAGATATGAGAATATAGGAGAACATGTTTGGATTACCTTAATATGGTTAGTGTGGAAAATGAACTTGAACTGCGAAAATTTCATACTATTTAGAATCCACAATATCCAGTTCACTGCCTATACAGATCAATTCAACAGACTTGCTGGTCGTACTTTAGCTAATCAAGTCCTAAGTATTGGATTACAATCTCATTATCTGGTAGTATATATCACACATGGATGGAATACTTACCGAAGTGAATTTGAACTCTATTAGCGGTCGTACGAGGTCGAACCAATTCGTTATATTTTTTCCCACTAGATCTGGTAAAATCACCATCAGTGAATTTCCTATACTACGAACTACCATATCTGAACTGAAAACAAAAAAAAATGGAGTTTTACCGTTATCCTATTCTTCCACGCGTTAAGGTGATACAGTCCGTTTGCCAGTTACTAGATGCAAAACCTGTAAGTCAACAGTTTCCGTAAAAATAAACATTTTTCACAAAAAGTTGATCGTACCAATCGATTCTGAACATTACATGAATAAGATGGTCTTTATTTCCAATTGAACTATCATTATTGGTGAGTTTTCGCCATTGTGAAGTGACACATCGGTGTCCAATCACTGTCCTGAATGTCTCCTGTTATCGTAGAGAACGATCCTTTTTTGGATCGATCGTCACACGTGACGATCGATCCAAAAAAGGATCGTTTTGGTTGTGCCAAAGCAACATACCTTTGATTATATTGTTTAGGAGCTGGCTCCTGGCCTGATTCACTGCAACCTTTACAGATCTATTGCGATTATTCTTGGTTGTTAGAGCTCATTGTCTAGCTTATTTTCTCAGATGAGACTCCGTAGCCTTGACACTGACCCTTTCATATAGCTGGCAGCCTCTGGGTCCTCTTCCCCGCATCTTGCTATCGCTTTGAATTCACAGAGAACATGCAGTGCGGCTTCTTCCTCTTCTTGACATAACCTACATTGAGTTTCTTCTGTCAGACCCATGTTTCCCATATGTTTCCTGATTGGCTATGCCCCGTAAGGTGACCTACCACCACCCTTACAACCTCACGGTTGTGGTTTAGCAGGTCTTCCGTCAATCTGGGCGATGGTTTCTTCATGAACTCTTTCGCCTTCCTCATTCCTGGAAGCTTATTCCACCAATCTATCGATTCGACGTGCATCCATGAGTTTATGGATGTCGTTATACATGCTTTCGCTACCCCGCACAAGGGTTCTGGGCCGATCATGGCCTTGGATGCGCCTTCACGGGCTAGAAGATTGGCCTTATCATTGCCCTTGTGAGCCTCATGTCGTGGTACCCAAGTTGAAGTGACTATATTTTGGGTACTTAGCTCCTTGAGTGGGCTTAGACCACTTCCCATCAGTCTTGAGAAGACTTGAAATGAGCTGAGCGCTTTAATTGCCGACTGGCTGTCGGAGAAGATGGCAATGGCTTTATATGTGACCTTTCTGCCTGTTCATTTTCCCAATATGGTGTTCGACGGCCGCTACTTCTGCCTGGAACACAGTTGCATTATGTCCGAGGCTGAGTGCGATTCTCGTCTTTGCTCTGCCTCCATATATACCGGTTCCACTCCTTCTTGGGTCTTTGAGCCATCTGTATACCAAGTTTCTTCCGTTTTTACTGGTGGGCCGTTTTGCCAGACGTTGCAACGTGACAATTATTGCCGAATGTTCGAATCGTGGTGCACTTACTCTTTGAGCTTTGTGACTTTTTCAATACGTTTTGAATCATCAAAAACCGCATGGATGCTGACACCCAGTTCTTCCACCATCCCATTTACAGTTTGTGGTGGACTTGTCTCCACCAGGGTCTCAAATCCTCGTCCTGGATTTCTGTAGGTCGACCCCTTCAGAGCTCATCTTTGAGGCGTAAATCTTTGGAACGAAATTTCGCAAACCAATGTCGAACAAAGGGTTCATTAACACTGTCATTGCCAAATGCCAGGTTAATTTTTCGGGTTGTTTCGGCAGCGCCTTAGTACAATTTGAATTAAAAAATTGAATGAAAAAAATAAAATTTGGATAAAAACGAATAGCATTAATGTATTTCTCTATAGATCAGTTTATACTACGAATCAGTTGAATGAATATTCTATTGAGATATGGAGCCACAAAAACACATGACAATAAAAGAGACAACACTTTTGAAACAACCTAATTATTTCCAAACAAAAATCAATTGGCGCTCCGGGGCGACTTTATAGATTCCAGTGGCGTATTTGCTTTTTCAGCTGCAAGAAAACCTGAAAAAATCTGCAGCACCACATCGTCTGAAGATCTTGATCTGCCAATGGAGCTCCAAGGCTCCAATAAATTCAAGACATCGCCAAAACGCTTAGTGACACGACTATCGTCATAATTAAAACATTCCCTGGTGGATTGGGCTACCGAGCGGGCGCGTCTCCAGGTGGCGGGTAGAGGAACGGCCAGGGGACTGTAGGCCCTTTCCGGGAAGCCAATGTGGCCTTACGGACGAGGTCGCCGGACTCCTGGTCAGTGGCAGAAATAAGGAGGGTGAGGGGAAATGAAACTCTCCAAAAGCCTTTGCAAAATATGCCACCGTTGGCCAGCCTACCCAAGCTAAGGTGTAAGGAATCGTGTCGACAGCTGAGTGGCCGCAGGGTGATATGCGGTCACGAACGATCCCCTTGGGGAAATGGGCGAAACCTCATTGTAATCAGCCTAGCTCCGGTAATGCGGGGCTCTGCCAGAAGTGACCAACTCTTCCCTTGCTACTCGTGGGAACACACATGAATGAAATAAACACAAAAACAGAAACAACAAAAACAAAAACCAATCCCGAGGCTGGAATCTACAGCTGGGGATGAACAAAATTGTCCATCCCAATCTACCGCTTGGAATGAGGCTGGATATAGCAGATCACCTCGTGATGTGATACAAAGGCCAAGGCGTATGCGCATTTGCGGCGCCGATGCCAAAAGGAGAAAGAGAGCAAAGAAGGCAGGAGTGGCAGCAACTATAAGTGCACCCACCTCCAACAGCAAGGGCACTTTCTGTGGCGGACGCCAAGAGCTCCGCCTTGAATGAAGGCAAGGAACCGGCTGCTCCCTCACTTGTGCACCTTCACGGAGGGAACCCCAAGAAGGTTGGAGAAGCCGCGCAACGACAGTAAGATCGCTGCACTTTCCAAAGGCCACCGTGAGACACCTCAAGGTTGCCAAAGATAGTGTGTGTTCGGCGAGTCTTGGCCTACACCTGCCAATATAAAGGAGATGTCTCCCAGCGACCTGTCCACCTTCCTGGAAAGGACAGGATGGACGATGACCTAGGAGGATAACTCCTCGGGAGGATGTAAAATGGGTCACATGTGGCCTAAGTTCTGTGGGTCTACACTCACCCTCCCTACTCTATAGATACAGATACTTAAACCAGTCCGTTTCTTCTTTGACAAATTTAATTAAGAAACTAGTAGTTCCTTACACCATTGAATGGTTAATGTAGAAGTAAATTAAATGGAAATAATAAACAAAAGCCCCGAGGATCCCGGGGATCCTTTGCTTTTCTCTCCTTGAAGAATAATAATGACCTTATAAATCTACGTGAATGGGGACTGTTTATCCTCATGTCAAAGATTAACAACAATTCGGAATTGCGCGAATTGTTGAGTAGAATAGCTCAGATATTCGATGGAGGTAGAAAGCCAACCAATCCGCTACTTTTAAGATATGGAATGGATAGTGAAGAGGGGCCAGTATATATGTTGTCAAAAAATAAATTAGTTGTCTTTTCATATAAAGAGGGATATTTTGTTAGATTACACTAACGAACAAAATCGGATCCAGTTAAGGACTGTAGCATTTCCAAGGATAAGCCGATTTACATAAAACCACCTTTCTATTCGTTTGGTTCAGATCCCTTTACTGCTGAAAGGAATGAATATTTCATTCATTTCAGAATTACGTGTAACTTCAACTTAAATGAAAGTCCCGAAAGATCCCGAATTTACATACGTTTGATGTAATTGAAATCTTTTGATGTAAATTTTGAGAGCAAGCGAATGAGAATTGTGTGCCTCCCATATTATTGAACGCAGATGAAATCAGTAAGTGTCGATTTAACTTACCCGAATACTATACAGAATGGGAATATTTCGAATAAAACTGAAGCATTGATTGGAAGATGTTTCTCCTCCCTAGTCATCGCTAATGAGGCTATGGTGAAAGCTCTATTGTCGAATGTCAATTGAAAAGTGACATGCACCATATCGAACAGGATCTCTTCTCTGACCAACTCAATTTTCATCTCTTTGTGGTAGAAGTGTTTAGCTACCTGAAAGACAAGAAAAAACAATTTGACAACAATATTTACTATGTTGCAATCAGTTCAGTACCTACATAAAAAGTTGTTAGACATGCAGGGTGAGCCAGAAATAGAGCAGATTTTTCATCATAGTTGGTGTTTGGAAAATAATCGCTTAGGTTTGTCGAATTTTATTTTGAGGGAAAAATCATATCGAACTTATTTTCAACATTGTCAGTTCCAACAGAGGGTGGGATGTGATAGGACCCTTGAATTGTGAATTGTGAACAGCATTACTAAATTTTCGGTGTGCGTGTCTATATACGTGATACGCCTGAAGAAGCTATTCTATAGCGAAACATGTTTTGCATTTTTGTAAAACTGTTGAATGAATGAAGTGTTCTCTTGAATACGTTATGAATTTTCATCAAGTACCGGCCAATGCCGTATCACATATGTCAAAATATTCCTTACCATTTATATCGTTCACGATTTCTCATTAAACGTTCAAATTGCTTTCCATCGTTCCTTGAACACACACTTCGTCAATATTGCCAAAAGTTGAGCCGGATACCTTGTCTTCAATGAAGCCCCAGAATGAAAAGTCCAGACGGGTCAGGTCAGGTGAAGGTGGTGGCCATTAAATAGGATCATTGTTTCCTATCCATCGTCCTATCATATGCGTATTGGGAAAATATCTGCAAATAGTTCTGCGATGTGGCAGATCTCCATCATGTTGGAAATACTGATAATTTTCACAGAATATTCAAAGGCAGGTTTTCCAATAACTCGACTAGAGTCTTTGACAAGAATTAGAAATATCACTGCTTCGTCAAAAATGTCTCAGGAAAGTAGGTGTGTATAGCACCCCAAGCTCAACATGAAATCCAAATCACCCTTGGAAATTTGTAGCTTTATGTAGGGACGAATTTTCTTGTCGCCAGTGATAATGAATATTCGTGAATCTACTCTCACCACACCATGAAATTTTATTACATATTTCATTATCCTAGCGATGTTGTCTTAACTGACATCTATAAAATATAAATCTCCTATCATAACCCGTTAAAAGTAGATGGTGGATTTTTCTGACACTTCAAGGTCTGAATTTATTTTTTCTCAAAAATTTTCAAACTGACGTAGTCATTATAGCACTATGATATGCAATCTCCCTCAATGACACTTCTTTGTTCTCAATTTTTCGGTATTCCACAAATCCTGAATTCAGTAAATATTACACACCAAATTTCCTCATCACCTCATCAGTCACTGTATGTCCAGCACATACTTCCTCTTCCAAGGTACCTTCTACAAACAAATAAAGGGCGCCCCCATGGGTTCTCTTCTTTCACCAGTCCTTGCAAACCTTTTGATGGAAGACTTTGAAAGCAAGGTTATTGACAGGTTCGACCACAAACCCTCTTGCTGGTTCAGATACGTAGATGCCGTTTTTTCATATGGTCCCACGGCTCCGAAGCTCGTCATAATTTCCTTGATCACCTCAACGACCTCCACCCAAATATAACATTGACAATGGAAATTGAAATCAATAACTCCCTTCCATTCCTAGATGTCCTCATCAGAAAATCCAATAACTCCTTCACCCACATGGTCTACAAGAAAGTAACACACACAAACAGATACCTTAATGCAAACTCCTACCATTATCCAGCACAAACCAACTCCGTCTTGAATTCTCTCATCCATAGATCTATCAACCTCACTACCACCACAACAAACCACAAGAGTTGGCCCGACTCAAATTAGCTCTCCTTCAAAATGGATTCACAGACCATCAAATTGACAGATCCATCCGTCTTCAACAAACTTCTTCGTCCAGTCCCGAAGATTCAAAAGACAATAACGTTTCCCACAAAGCTTTCCTTCCCTACATCAAAGGTGTAACTCATAAAATTGGTCGAATTACCAAAAAACAGGACATAAAAACGATATTCACCACCAACAATCAAATTTCCACATTTCTCCGTTCCCCCAAGGAAAAAATTGTTAATGTATTCCAGTGTACATATGAAATTTCATGCTTCGATTGCGATAGAACATATGTAGGCCAGACCAACAGACGTGTGACAAGTAGAGTATACGAACGTCAACTTGCTGTTTGAAAGTCAGTTCTATCCTCAGCCCTGTCCAAACATCACCAAGAGATAGTCTTTGCGAACACTAAGACCATCGCGACAGCGAAAACATTACAATCTCGGATAATTTGCGTGGCCATCGAAATCGATAATCGAAATTTCTGCCTGAACTAACGCGATGACGGTCAGAGACTTACAACTGCCAGGAAACCTCTAATTTCCCGATGCTTACTTCCCACCAAGACGTCCGGTGATGGTAATCACCCCCCCCCCCACATTTCCACTTCAGTAGCTTCCGCCGATACTGAACACCTATCTCAGTTCAATCCAAGGAGTAGGCAGATTGAGACCTCAGAGATAACTCATGACAAGACCTGGGGAGTAGGCAGATTGAGGCCCCGGCGTCGTCACATACAATTCTTGAAAATGGCTCCAAAATGGAAGCCGAAACGTCGAATACTAAACTTCAGACACGGTTCAACCCGAACTCAGAACAATAACATTAACAAATAATGTTGATGCTATAGAGGGTACAATTTATTTCGTTAATCCATGTTTAGCTAACAAACGTATAATTGACCGAGTGGAAAACATGGTGTGCTCAAATTCAAGCCACAGACGGACATTGTTTGGACTTGGAACTCATCAATAGTCATTGCAAATGTCAATCTAATTGGAAATTGCACACGTTTAAACTAAATCGGCACAACTGTAGGTATAATAGGGATTCGTGGTATTATTGGACCTTGCCATTTCAAATGCTGGCTTCGACAACGTATTTCAATGACTAATCGCGTGCCGTTGAACAGCCGTGGTGCATTCAAATTACGGAGCGATCCAATCTTCAATTGTAAATTATGCGTTGGCATGCTTACTGAAATTGTTATTGAAAAATAGGGGTTGGTGATGGAAGGATAAACATTGTGGGTACCCAATATGTATTTTTCAATGTCACATCATGAAAAAATAAAAACAAAAAATTTTTACTAAAAAATAAAAAAAAAATTTGAGGCAGAGCACCCTCGTGACTCAGGGATATGGAAAATAATCAGAAACCTATTCTCAGACCTACAGAATACACATATAAAATTTCATAAAAATCGGTCAAGTCGTTCTCGAGGAGTATGGCAACTAACACTATGACACGAGTATTTCATATATTAGATATATAACAAGATTTCTCGACTTTTTCAAACAAATTCACGATGTTCAATAACTTCTTAATATAACTGTTTTCACACAACAACGTTCATTACTCATTTAATTCTTGGTTGAACATTCGAGAAATATTTTCCATTTTAAAAATTCTTACAGAAACAAAATGCATATTCGCCTTGCCAGGCTTATACGTTTTTCATTTCCCATTGTGAAAATTTATTTGTCCTACTTTTTTCTTCATCTAATCAAATAATTCACGGTGTTAAATGAAATGCCTTTTGCTAGCCTGAAGTGAAACATCAAGCTCGTGAAATGAAAGTGGGAATGCGTGAAAATCAAATAGGATGAGCTTTGCTTACGGCTGTGTCGACATAATTTGTTCATTCGTTTCATTGTGTGCTTCTATCCACAACGAAAGTTTTTATTTGAATTATCGTGAATGCAAATGTTTGTTTTCAATTTTCTGTTTATTATCATAGAAAGAAATATGTTTATTCATCGTAGTCGATTTGGGAAGATTAATATTGAAAAAATTTCAAATGATGAATGTATCGGTTATTATCAAGAATAAAATTTCAACTCTGTTTTTTGTTGAAATGATTCATTGAATCTATTGGAAAAACAGAAATATACAATTCGCTAAAAAAGTTAGCATTATCAGGAGATGACTGAATTATACCACTCATTTACTTATTTCTCATAGCTCTGTTTTATCAGTTCGGACTTCCATTGTTTAATATAATATAAATTGATTTGATAACCCTGAAAAAAATTAAAATGATTACCCGAAAATAACAATTTTATTAAACAAAAAACTGAAATTACAAAGAAATAACATACAAAATAAAAATTGAAATAATAATAAAAGCTGAAAAAATTAAAAATATTATTAACAAAAAATGAAAAAATAAAAATTGAAAAATTCCAAACCAAGTATGTCACGACGTTTCGATTGTTAGTATCCACAATCATCTTCGGGTGATAACTGGACTTATTCCTCCGAGATCTGACTATTTATAAGTCATTCGGGTGCTTTCACCTATCCCCTCTTCCCTCTTTCCGCTTCATTGGTTTTGGCGGGAGATGACCGTTTGGCTTAAGTTGGTCGTTTTTCGCTTGATTAGAGGTTTCCATATGTTACGTATGTCTACGCTAGCTTGACTAAATGCGTTGTTGGATAACATATACGCGGCTTCTTCGAATTTTCTCCTAAGCCAGTGTTCCTCTTTGTGGATGATTTCATCTTGAGCCCACTTGATGTTGTGTTGATGAGTCCAAACATGCTCTGCTATTCCGCATTTGCTGGTTTCTCCTCGATGTGTGTGTTTTTTGTGCTCAGCAATGCGAACTTTCAATGGCCTCTTAGTTTCACCGATGTATGATTCTCCGCACTCGCTGGTTATCCGGTAAATGCAATTCTTGGAATCGCAGTCCGCGTTTGGTGGCCTGGTTCTCGTGAGGCTGCTATGGATAGTGTTCCCAGATCTGAAACAGATCTGATAAAGGGAAGTACAAGTACTGGTTGTGGCGGCTTCTCTTCCTTGTGGAGTTCTTGCTGTCTTCTAGCTAAGGCCTATTCTACCATCGCTTTGTAGTAACCATTCCGTTGAAGGTCATTTTTGATGACCTTCCTTTGTATTACAGAGCCCAAAAGTTTGTGTCTGAAAGTTACATCTTTGCATGATCTACACATCCATGTATACAGTTACTTCCTTCCTTTCTTTGGAAGACTCCCTCATCCTTCTTTTTTTGTATCAAGATGGAGTAGTAGAAAGC